AGGTGAAAACGCTCCCCGCCATCGTGGAGTTGGTCTCCAACTTAGCGTCCAGGCAAGTGCTGCGCTCATCAAGTGGGAGCCTGTTAATGAGAGGATAATCGTTGCCAGATTTAGAACGCGGGTTCGTAACCTTACCATAATCCAATGTTATGCGCCAACCGATGCTGCCGAGCTACAGGACAAGGAGAATTTTTACAGTCAACTGAATGCCGTCGTGGATAAGTTTCCAAAGGGTGACATCAACAACTACACTGGCGACTTCAATGCGAAGATCGGCTCCGACAACACGGACTATGAGCGTGTCATGGGACGCCATGGTCTCGGCGAAATGAGCGAGAACGGTGAACTGTTTGCAGAATTTTGTGGCAATAACGACATGGTGATTGGGGGCTCGCTCTCCCCCCATCGGGCAGTGCACAAAGTCACGTGGGTTTCCCGTGATGGACATACCGAAAATCAGATCGACCACAGCTGCATCAGCCGAAAATGGAGACGGAGCCTTCTTGATGTCCGGAATAAACGCAGCGCCGACATCGCGTCTGACCATCACCTTCTAATCGGTGAAATCCGCCTACGCATGGCACGGATCCAGGACGGGCGGCGGTTCAACACACGCCGACTTGAAGATCCAGCGGTAAAAAGGTCTTTTGTTGAAGAACATGAGACTCGATCTGCGGACGTTCCAGAAGGTGGCAGCGTAGAAGAACAATGGACGGCCATCAAGAATGCCTTTATAGAAACAAGCGAGAACAACTTGGGTGAGCTGCGCACCCAGAGGAAAGAGTGGATCACAGATGAAACCTGGCGGAAGATTGAGGAGCGTAGAGAAGCAAAAGCCGCGATAGAGCGGGCGAGAACCAGAGGAGCCAAGAACGAAGCCCGTCAACGGTACTCGGCTCTAGAGAAGGAAGTCAAGCGCTCTTGGCCGACGAAGGGGAGAAAGCCGCAAACACTGGCGATGTACGCCTCCTCTACGATATCTCACGACGCCTGAGTGGAGCAAGGATGAACCCGAGGATGCCAGTGAAGGACACTACTGGACAATTGCTTACCGACCCCACTGACCAGCTGAAACGCTGGTTTGAGCACTTCGAACAACTTCTTCAAGTTTCGACGGCCAACCAGCCATCAACATCTCGGCATGATCCGCCTAGGGTGCGGCGCATCACTCGCGTCAATTCCGAGGCCCCATGACTGCAGGAGATTGAAGCAGCTATCCGAAGCATGAAATCCAACAAGGCTCCAGGGGTCGATCGCATATCAGCAGAGATGCTCAAAGCTGACCCCATGCTATCCGCACAAATGTTGCATCAACTATTCTGTAATATTTGGGACACCGCGATTTTTCCGGTCCCAAAGAAGGGGGATCTGACTGTGTGCGACAATTGGCGAAGCATCATGTTACTGTGTATTGTTCTCAAAGTTATGTGCAAAGTTATCCTGAATCGGATACAGGAGAAGATCGACGCGACTCTCCGACGGCAGCAGGCAGGATTCCGTGCCGGAAGATCTTGTGTGGACCATATTGTCACGCTCCGCATCATCCTGGAGCAGGTCAATGAATTCCAAGAGTCCCTTTATTTGGTATTCATTAACTACGAAAAAGCTTTCGACCGTCTCAATCACGAGAATCTGTGGGGCGCCCTGAGACGCAATGGAGTCCCGGATAAAATCGTCTACCTCATCGAAGCGCAGTATGAGGCTTTCACGTGCAGAGTTCTGCATAACGGAGCCTTGTCCGACCCTATCCGGGTAGTCGCTGGTGTGAGACAATGATGTATACTATCACCGCTACTGTTTCTCATCGTAATCGACGAGATCATGGTAGGTGCAATTGACTGTGTACCGAACCGTGGGCTGCTTTGGCAGCCTATCACCATGGATCATCTCAACGACTTCGATTTGGCTGATGATGTTGCTCTACTAGCATAACGGCGCTCTGATATGCAGAGTAAGCTCAATGACCTAGCCGAACGCTCCTCTGCGGCGGGTCTCACCATCAACGTCAACAAAACCAAATCGTTGGATATCAACACGGGCAACCCTTCCAACTTTACGGTAGCGGGGCAAGCAGTGGAGAAGGTCGAAAGTTTCCAATATCTTGGCAGCCAAATACCGTCGGACGGCGGGACCAAGAGCGACATAGGTGCACGAATCAAGAAGGCTAGGGCTGCATTTGCGAGTTTACGAAAGTATGGAGATCCAACCAGATAAGTAAACGCACCAAAATCCGAATTTTCAACTCGAACGTGAAATCTCTGTTGTTATACGCCAGCGAGACGTGGTGTGTATCAGTGGAGAACACTCAAAAGCTGCAGGTCTTCATCAACCGATGCCTGCGATATATAATTCGTGCCTGGTGGCATCACAACTGGATCTCGAATGCCGAGCTCCATCGTTGATGTCATCAGAAGCCGATAGCAACAGAAATTCGAGAGCGAAAGTGGAGGTGGGTCGGCTACACACTTCGACGGGGTGGAAACGAAATCTGCAAGCAAGCGCTGGATTGGAATCCGGCAGGACATCGCAGCAGAGGCAGACCCAGGGGCTCATGGCGGCGGAGCCTCAACAAAGAAATTAAGCAAGTCGATAGGAATTTGACCTGGGCCCAGGTCAAGGCAAAAGCGAGCAGCCGCCCAGGATGGAAGTCTTTCACGTTGGCCCTTTGCACCGCTGGTGGTGCACAGAACCCTAAAGTAAGTAACTAAAGACGACTTGGGTGTTAACGGGTTGATTGAAGTTTTCGAACATTTCTTGAGTTTCTCGGAACTTCTGTAAAGTTCTTACAATTGGTTTGAAAATAATTTAACTGCCCTGAGGTTATCTGATATTCCCGCATAATCTCGAAAAGACTACCCTGGATTTCTCGGGATTCTCATATAGTTTTTAGAACTGCCCAGAAATCAATGGGTCTGCCATATTTTTTTTTTAATTTCTCTAGAAATCTCTGGACTTATGTAATAATCCTAAAATACAAACTTAAACTTTTCAAGAGTTCTCTAGACTTTCCTGATACTCCCAAAACTCATAGTGCTGTCCTGAATTCATAGAATTTATCATTTTCAGATCTTTACATTTTCCTTAAAGTCTGGACTTTTCTGAAGTTATTGAGACTGCCCTTAAGATCCCTTAGCTTCCCTGGAAAACAATGGAGCTAGCTTTTTCGAAAGTTTCCACATCTTCCTTATTGTCGAGACTTTTCTGATGATCTCGTGGCATCCTTTGAGTTTTCTGGATATTCCTTAAATCAAATAACTTCATAAAAGAAGCTGCAGATTCCTTGAAGCTGATGGATTCACCATGAAGTTGAAACTGATAGGCTCAAAATGTTGCAAAAGTTTTCTCATTATCCTGCAGTCTGTTCATAAGACTTTTCCTAAAGCCCATGATGCTGTCCTGAATTCATAGAATTTAATATATTCAGATCATTAAACTTCCCCAAAAGTCTGAACTTTCTAAACTTATTGAGACCGCTCTTAAGATCCTGGAGAACTCTAGAGCTAGCTTTTTTGAAAGATTCCACAATTTTCCTTATGTTCGTGAGTCTTTTCTGATGATTTCTTGCCATTTCATAAGTTTTCTGGATAAAGTCTGGTCGACTTAGAATCCGAAAACTTTATTTATTCTATAGCAGTGCCTGTAGTGGTCGGGTTTGAAAAGTTTTGACAGCGATTTGTTTTGAAAGTACACTTGTTTCAGTGGTGCAAGTTTCGTTTCGATACGTGCACTCAGTGTTGGGAAAATATCAAAAAATAAAATCTCAACAACGCCTAAGATCACGCTTGATTTTCGTAGACAAAAATCAACAAGCAAACTACTGCGGTTCATTTTGCGAGCTGTGATATCGCAGCTCGGAATATCAAGCTAACAAAACTCACCAACTGCAAATCTCACCAAACTGTGGTGAGATTGAGTTTAATGACTTTTCAGGTCAGAAGTTTAAGCTACTACTCTTACCATAGGCTACATAAATAGGATAAATATAATGAATTAGAATAAATAGGGGAAAATATTTAATGCAGAAAGAAACACAGCATCTGAAATCACTGTACACCATACACCAGTTCAACGACTGCATTGTTGTTCAACTGTCAGTTACTAGACAATTTTTACTTGTAGCTGTAAAAAAGGCACAAGAAAAAAAAACATCAAACGGTCTATATCAATTCATTTTTTGTGCATCTTTCGCCATCAACAAAAATAACCAAAACCCCAACACGGTCCATTTCCTTTTCAACCAGCACCAGGGATCTGCAACTGCTCCCGAGTTCAGCCACATGGAGATAAACCCCGCACACACCGAGCAAGAAGAGCGATGCACTGCAACTAGAACACTTCATAAAAAGGGACGCTACTACTGATGATGGGATGGCTGGGCTGGCTGCATGCCGTTTCAAGTTCGCTCCCCAAACCATCATCGGGGAACGGGAGTCGAGAGGCAGTCAGTGGAAGGGAGAATATTTTGCGGTTCTGGTGGTGGTGGTGGTGGCCGTGGCGCCCTTTTTCTGCGGAGCTGATTCTGCTGGGGCACTCGGGATCATAGGGTGACGACGGCGAGCAAGCGAACGATGCAAAATAACTGTGGTGGAAAATTACTCACAGAAGTAACAACCAACAACCGTTCCGTCGGTAGGTAGGTAGGAGCAAGTACCCAACAGCAGAGATTTTCGCTTTTCCAGCTGCAGCAGCAAATTAAGTCTGGCTGGAAAGCGATCTGGAAGGTAAGGCCCCGGCCGGACCCGGCACAGGGAAGGAAATTAAAAAGCCATTGAGCCGCATGAGTACCAACGAACTGGTCAACACACAGCGCGATAGCAACAACGACAACAACCAGCCAGCGTATCGACCAGTCCAGAAGGCCAGGCCAATCGATATGGACCAGGCGATTTCAGCGATGTAGGTTTGGTTGTTACTGCCTCGGGGGCACAGAGATTTCATGTTTACAGTATGCTTTTTTTTTCTGTGGCAAGTGGTTTACTACTGTTTGCTTCAGTTCTTACCTTGATGAGTTCAGTTGGTAATCGCCATTGCCTTGCGAACTGTCACTAGCGGAGGAAGCGTTTTTCTGAGAACGGAAAGAAAAGGAAAGAAATCGTGAAAAACAACTTGAAAATAGAACATGATCGTCATTCAACGGCACGCCATACATCACAACTCACAAGGCAATATACTCGTGACTGTTAATATCAAATTCAAATGTCGGCTAATGGCGTCATTTTTATCTTTCGATTGCGCGATGTGGAATAACGTGAAATGTGCATTGTAAATAGACAGTAGGCACATCAACGTAATTTGTGATTAGCCCCGGTCTCTTTCAAATAGTATCATTATTTATGAACGGCCCTTATATTTGAAATGACGGTTCATATTGGACGATTAATCGATTAACGAACCGAAAAGCAAAATATTTGTAATCGTTGATGATATAAGCATTAACTTCTCCAGAAGATCATCACCCATCGTTTGAAACATGTTATGCACTGTCATTAAAGGAAAAATGACAGCACAGCAAACAAACAATAATCGATTAATTTTTAATCAAGTAATTTTTTTTCTTTTTTTTTAATATGCACTTTAAGGTGATACGATACGTCACGCTTTTTTTGCTTTTTTTCTCTCCTTTCTATGTGTCAGTGAATTGATTATCATTGATGCTGTAGTGGTGTGAGTGTACATCATGCACTACCGCAACTACCGTAAACATAGCTTCTAGAGTTCATTATTATCAGGTCGAATGTGTAAATGTTAATTAAAAAAAATAGAAAGGTAAACAATTGCCAATATTATCGACCTACCACTTCCCAGGACACCCCTTCCTATAAAGAAAATAATTATGCACCTAGCCACCAAGACAAACATGTCAAGTCATCATAGTAGTTAATTTATTCAACATCACACTTTGTACACTTTTGTTACATACGACCTGTCCAAAAGTGATTCCAGAGCTCAAACCTGCTGGTACACGGTAAGAAAAAAGATCCCAAAGTGACTCATTTTCACAAATCTCGGCACTATATTGCAGGAAGCCAAAAGTAGGTAATGTGGGTGAAGAGTTTTCATTTACTTGTGTTCAATTAGTTAATATTGACAATTCTCTTCTACCCAAAAATAGTTAGTTGTACCCAAAAGTAGGTGTATATGATTATACTCAAAGTTAAAAGTAGGCAAAAAATGAACTGGCCGTTGGATATTTTTTCTTATTGTGTATGTTTTTGTTTTAGAATCATCCTTTTGACGCCTTTTGCATATCAGCTGATTGCTTCGAGCAGTGCACTCAGAATGACACATATGTTTTCTATAGAAGATTTCTAGATTTATTTACTTTCATTTTTTGTCTTGAGAAACAAAATTAGAAATTGTTTTAAACATTTATTAGTGATTGTTTCTAAATTGAACACATTTTAAGCACATTAAAAAGCAATAAAAGCATTGTTTTTACACAATTTGATTCAATTAAATCGACAACACTGGATACGATGATAGATGATTCGTACACACACCTTCGCAATGCGGTGTGTAGAAAAAAGGTAAACAAAACAGTTTCAGCTTGCAAAATTATTCGCGGCTCGCGTTTTTAACGATGCAAATGATATTATTTAAGCAAATATCGTCTTTAAAAGTAAATTAACTTGAAAGTGCTTGTAGAAGCACGTGTCGTAATTGTTTTTAGTGTGGTTCTGAGAAGTGAAAACTAGTGAAAACAGTTATTGAAATTTGATGCCCTGGGCAGAACAAAATCGACTGATCGTACATTTTAATGCAAATATTACCAATGCGTGAAGGGATTGGCAATATTTTGGTGGAAAAGTATTAAAATATGTATCCAGATCTTATTCATACAATTCAGGCCCATTTTTTAAGGTATGTAATTAGTAATTTACTATTTTGTAGGAAGATGTCTTTCGTACGCATACCATAACACGTTTATTTAATGATTGTAGGGACAGCCATTGTTGGATGACGTGCCGTATCACCTTAAACGCAATCGAATACACGAAACTCAAAGCGACTGCTTCACAAAACTCTTGGTGAACAAAATTTATCACAAAGAAAACCATTTCTAATTTATTGCTTTGCTAGCATTCGTGAAAGTATCATTGAAACAGCGGTGCCAGATGTATTGCCTCTAGCAATGAATTTAAGTTTATAAAAACAATTAATTGCGAAGTCTCATTAACATAGATGAGTGGATATATTTAATGGTGGATAAATATCAAAAACTGATTAAATAAAACATAAATGACCATTTTAGACATTTTACCGGTCCAATTAAAAAAGGCACATAATATTGAATTCAACAATAACAGGGTTGATGGCAGCAGTGCACGTAGCCTGGTATTCACTTTCACGCTCAGGGGTGTAAACAAACTTACATACAGCGCAGTCTGGCAGTGCGAATGTTTTGTCTGCTACATTCTTATCCACTAGATAGTGTGACATCACATTTGCTGTTGTATTGAAATGAAGGGAGTAAAGAGATGGTTAAGTTTTCCGCACCATACCAGTTGATATTTATGAAAAATGGGTAGTTTTGGCGTGGGGACATGCAATTCCAATGAATTTTACCAATACATTTAGAAAATGATGATCGAAGAATATTTCAAAAAGAAGAATTAAACAAAATAATGACCCTTTGTAGAACCTTAAAGATAAGTGAAAGTTCTTCGTTTTTGTATCGCGAAACTCTCTGATCACCCGGTAGCTAACCGACTCTGGGTGTTCCGGAGCTTGCTCTTGTCGCCAGAGTCGACCGGGTGCTGTATGTTTGATCTCCGAGTAGGTAGTTGGTGAGTGCTGAGTTCTTACATCAGAATCCTTGTCTTAACCACTTCAAACTAGGGAACAACGAATAGAAGATTAGGAATCACATAGATGAAGACTAACTAACTCATTTTTTCCTTGTTTCAAGATCATCCTCGGTGGATAAAGCCGAGTCTTATCACTATCAGCAAGGCATAACAAGTAACAAGGACTAATATGTGTTCCTTTGATTAGTGAAAAATCCTGTTCCCCTTGTTTGAAATAGCCAGGACTAGGAATCAGTGCCGATCACCTTTTCGTGGTACGCTACGGGATGTAAGATCTACCACCGGAGGACTTTGAGATTTGGGCTTAATTGCTATTGTAAACAAATATGTCAATCGCTGATTTCTTGCGAATAAAAGCTCAATCCCGCCAACATACTATTCCAAATGACAGAGGAATCACTCCTCTACATTAGTGTGTTGTTAGTTTTCCAGGCTGAGTTTTTATTCGTGAGAAGTCGGTGATTGAAGTGTTTGTTTACAAAAGCAATTACGTCCAAAACTCAAACCACTCCGAAATTGATCGCGATGATCTCGATTAGGCAATAACGCTGTTTTTTTTAAAGATTTCATTCGTGTTTTGTAGACGCACATGTATAATTTGTCATAAGAACACGGGGCGTTTCTGTGGTGGGAAAAAAGTTACTTCCATATCTATCACAGAATGCAAATCCGACAGTGAGCATACATAAGGACGTAATCGTGATCGATTTTCTCTTTTGTTAACAACTTGCTTGGATTAACATTTCTCGGTGCGTTTTCTGTTGCTTTCTATTATGACTCAATTTTATGTCATAATTGACGCTCGTATATGTAAGTCTCAGAACACCTAAATTTACATGGATTTTTCTAAGTGTGTAGATAAAAACTTCTTTTATCGATATGTGTGCTGAAAAAACCTGGGCCGAGAGGATTCAAGGAGAAAGTCGACGAAGAAAATCTTGTCAATGTTACCTAGGACCTAATGCAATATTCAGCTTGAATTACTTCGCTTAGCTGCCACAACGTAAAGAGAAAATCGATGAAGAGAATCGACCATTACAAATTGGCCCTTTTGAACGATCACTGCCGAATTTCAGTACCTAGCACTGAAAAAACTCGACGGTACTGCTTGCTAAGAGATAAGCATTATAAGTCCCTCCTAATTGAAAAATTATGCAATCGAACGGCTTGCTATGCCTCGCCCCCATCAGCAAAAAGTCTGGGATTTTTTAAAGCGTTTTATGGCATAATTTTCCAAGTAGGATGGACTTTCATAGCTAATCTAAAAGCAGAAATAGAGGTACCGTCTGATAATTTCAGTGCTTGGTACAGGAGTCTGTAATCTGTGTAGGGAAATCCTTTTTTTTCACCACAGAAACACCACGTCTTCTTATGTTAAAAAATGGATGTGCGATGAAACGATGAACGCACGAAATCTTTTAAAAAATCATAATTAGTATTCTTTTTTATTCAATCAATAGATTAAGTTGTACCGAGAATTAAATGGAGGGATTTCAAGCTAAAATGTTCTGATCGCGAGATATTGACGATCAATACTGACATTTCGCCTAATTTTCCAACCCGTTTTGTGTGGTGTGTGCTGCTGATTTTCACTGTTGCCCAATGATAAGGGAACTTTCATATGTAACGTAGTAGCTGAGGGAGAAGAGGGGTTTCAGAAGTTGGGACCGGCCATATATTAGGTGTATTGCAAAACACGCTCCGAGGGGGAAGGGGGGTTAATTGGTAAAAAAAAACTTACGTAATTTATGGATGGCCCTAATTTTACTTCCTAGGCTGTGTCGCAATGGGCGAGTTAAATTTAACTCGTGGTTTAAAGTGACAGATGAGCTATCGAATAACCCTGCTATGCGAGCGTGGTTATTTCGGACCGACTAGAAGTAAAATTTTGGTAACCGTCGTGGCTCAGTTCTGTTTGAAAACTGATAAATTTCCGGCATTTTCGAACATTGAAAATAACTTTCGAAATGTCACTTTTAACCCCGAGTTAAATTTAACTCGGCAATTGGTTCACAACCCAAGAAGTATTTCTCGATTACTTTTTCGAAGAGACGTATCAGCTTTTGTAAACAACGCATTTGATCGTCGATTTGGCGTAACTGGTAGCTCACCCACGCATGCTAACACTACCATCAGATAGAGAAAATTTTCCCCTACCTGATATAGTGGTGTTAGTATGTGGGGCGAGCTATCAATTATACCAAACCGACGATAAAATGCGTTGTTTACAAAAGCTGATATGTCCTTTCGAAAAAGT